TATATATATATATATATATATTTATTTACTTCTATAGGAGGATAAATTTTTCAATTAAAAGATAATTTGTCTTCAAACTATAATAACACGAGTGATTAAAAAGAAATAATGATTGCATAATCAGAATTTGAAATATTTATATCCAATCTAAGTATATTTTGGCGAATAAATATAAATATAAGGTACTTTTGATAATAAAAAAAAGTATATGATTTGTATCCATATATGAACAAATGATTTTTTTCGTCATTTTTCTTTATTATTGTTCATACTCACCACACCACAAGATCATTTAATATTTATATTTTTATAAACCCTAAATAATATCAAAATCAATAATATATATATATATATATATATAATAATATATATATATATATATATGTCCATTGCAACATTGTGCAGACAAGTGCCAAATGAACTCTTGTTTTTTTCTCGAAGAGGCAAATATTTTGTGTGGTGGAATGGGTCTCTAGAGAGCCATAAACACTTTTTTTTTCTCTTTGTTCATATTCCCCCAAACGACCCCCCCAACTGTCGAATCAAATCAAATCTTAACCGTCCATCTCGTATCTCATCAACGGCTGTAATCGATCACAACTTGCCATGCTGGACCAATGGACAGTGGGTCCCACAAAAATCCAGCTCAGCGTTTTTGTTCTTTGTTCTGCTTATCTGGTCAGCGAGTGGGGATTGATCGTGGCCGTCGGTTGTGGATAAGAGTAGAAGAACGTATGTGGAACATTAGTGAAATCCAAGTCGGCAGATGTGGAACAGCAAAGCACGTGCCGACAATTTACGAACACGTGCATGCATGGAAACAAAGGAGTGAGAAGAAAAAACACTGAATTTCGTTTATTTAATTTTAATGATCTACGGATGCTCGAGATTTCGTAAATCTGAAAGAGTGAGATACAATATCAAATAACGATACTGGAATATCAAAATTTTTACTCATTAAATTTTAAGATTTAGACGTATTATGATTATACTGTTATGTATATAATCTTTTAAAATAATTATTTAGTTCACCATCAATATATTTTCCTTTTCTACTCATAATATAATAGTTAAATCTATAAGATTTATTCTATATAAACGATGACTTTTAAATTTTGTATTTTAATGATTATATATAGATATTATTGGATATATTTATGGTTTATTTTTATTTCGAATTTTATTTCGGATTTTATTCAATTATATTCGGATTTAGTTATTTCAGATTAAAAAAACCGTAATAATTTGATTTTTATATTAAATTCAAATCGGATTTAAATTCGGTGTTAATCAATAAAAATACTCATTTTCTAAATAAAATTATGATTTTTTAACTAATTTGTATTTTATTGGGTTTGTATTCCATCCTTTAGATGTTAGATTTTAGAGAATTATACTGATTATATATATTTTAGATTCCAATGGGCACCCTATTTTGGGTTTGATGTTCATCGATAGGACACCTTTTCATTCTCTGATTTGAGATTCGCCCGCCGAGAAAAAACGTGGGCCTTTGCTTGTTGGGCCTATATAGTCTAAAAAGGCCCATACAACTTCAATTTCTAATCTTCTTTTTTTTTTTAATTATTTTTTTTTTTAGTTTGCTCGGCGAGAAAATGAAACCAGTGAAAAAATTGTGAGGAGAAAGAAGGACGCATTGAGAAGAGCTACGATGAGAGCTTGTGTGAAGTGAAGGTGGAAATCGAATACACGGAAACGATGAAGTGGTACTTTGTTGCGGCACTTCTCACCATTCTCACCAGCTCTCAGGTTTCGACTCCAACCCTAATCTTCCTAATCCGATTTAGCTTTTGCATTACCTGTCGCTGATCGTTGGATCTGGTTGATTTCGTTTTTTCTTACGCTCTCCGGTTTCGATTTCGATTTCCCTTTTAAATGAATCAGTTATTTTCCTCTGTGTTTCTGTGCCATTGTTGGATCTGAGTAGAGTTAATGGTGTCGGTATTTCGCTTATCAAGTCTCGTTGTGTAGCTCATTTACTGTTTTCATGTTCTAGAGGAGCGAACTGATGAAAAATATGTTCATTTTTGCACAATCTGATGTTCCATGGAATTACTCGCGTCAAATTCGAGTTTTAAAATGGGTTATCTGGATTCATGATCCATTTCCTTTTATGGTGGCTTCTTTTTCTTTTTGTTGTGTTCATGCTCTGTATAAGAAATGTTATATAAGTTGCTATTGATGCTTATGATTTTGCTTAGGAAATGGAGTACATTATTTTTTTTTATCACCTTTTGTGAGGTGGAATGTTGGAATCTAGTGGGTGTTTCTAGATTTTAGTGTTTAGATTGAAGAATCTCTATTGCTCGTGTTCTGGGTTTGTGTTTGAGATGGAAATTTGATGAATGATAAATAGAGATGAAGTCCAGGGAGGTTGATTTCTGTTCACTCACTGACTGTGCTTCACCATCTGGCAGGGAATTTTAACCACCCTTTCTCAAAGCAATGGAGCTTATAAGTATGATTATGCAACCGTTCCGTTTCTTGCTGAAGTTTTTAAGGTAAATATCACTTGTTTTCGCCATAGCTCGAGCTGTTTTTCTCGATTTCTGCTAAGGCATTCGCTTTTCTTTACTTCATCTGCAGCTGCTCGTTTCAAGTGTACTGCTCTGGAGAGAGATCCGGACATCTCCCTCTACGAGGATAACTGCAGAATGGAAAAGTGTGCGCTTATTTGTTATTCCCTCCGTCATATATCTCGTCCACAACAATGTCCAGTTTGCTACTCTAACCTATGTGGATACGTCCACTTATCAGATAATGGGCAATCTGAAGATTGTGACCACCGGCATACTATTTAGGTCATCGATCTGGTTTCTTGTTTTCTTTGTCATCTTGTCTTCAGTAATCTGATTCCTTATCTCCACAGTGTGTATACCTTGTTTGATTTGCAAATTTCCTAATTGGTGGTTATTTTAGGTTATTCTTGAAGAGGAAATTGTCTACTCTGCAGTGGATGGCAATTGTTCTTTTAGCTGTTGGGACAACTACAAGTCAGGTATGTTCTAACAATAGCATAGACTAAACGGACTTGTATGATTCTGCCTTTATCAATTGTGTTCCCGGTTTTTGACATTGAAATTTACGGCCTTAAGCTTCTCATGATAATTTTTGTTTCACGTTTACTGCTTAGAACATTGGATTTCATGTTCATAAGTGGAATTTAAATTGGTATTGAAAGAAAGTTAGTGATATCTTACTTTCTTATTACTTTCTTGATAGAAGAACGAAAGTTTTATTTTAATGTCTCGGTTGTTTTAGGTTAAGGGTTGTGGAGAAGCTTCATGTGATTCCCTATTCACAGCACCAATACAAGGGTATTTGTTGGGCTTCCTCTCAGCTGGATTGTCAGCACTAGCCGGTATATATACAGAGTTTTTGATGAAGAGAAATAATGACAGCTTGTATTGGCAAAATGTGCAGTTATATACGTAAGCATCTCTTCTTCGCATTAAACCCGAGTATTGTTGTCAATTTTTTTAAAAAAATTTCTACTCAGCGAGTTTTTTCTGTCTGCATTTTTGCATTTTCAATTACCATACCCTTCTCTGTTTACCAGCTTTGGATCAATCTTCAATGTCGCTCGCCTTCTTGGGGATGATTTCAGACTCGGGTTTGAAAAGGGTCCTTGGTGGCAACGTCTCTTTAATGGATATAGCATCACTACTTGGCTGGTGGTTCTAAATCTCGGTTCCACTGGTTTACTCGTATCTTGGTTGATGAAGTATGCAGACAATATCGTAAAGGTAAATTCTTTTTCTCCATAATCAACTCCCCAGAAACTATCGATCATAAGAACGCTAATCTAATCTTGTTCTTGACACATGCATTTCATTTTTCGTTTCTTCTAGGTTTATTCCACATCAATGGCAATGCTATTGACAATGATCGCATCTATATATCTTTTCGAATTCAAACCCACGCTACAGGTAATGTTTATCTTCCCGTCAATCTTGTACACACATACCTCTATCCTCTCAAAATCTAACCATTTCTGTTCATCTCGCCTAAATCGGCTTACAGCTTTTCCTGGGTATTATCATATGCATGATGTCACTCCATATGTACTTTGCTCCTCCCCACATGCTCTTGGACCTGCCCGCGACAGCGGAACCTCGTCCAGAAACCCTAAAACAAGTTGTCGTTGAACAAAAGACGGATTCTTGATCGGTTTTCGACATATCAAAGCTCAGTTCTGCTACACACTCGTGGCTCTCACCAAGCATTTTGTCCATAGGAGAAGAATCGGAATGAAAGAAACCCACCATTTCTCTTTCAGAGAAAAATAGAAATGATCTGATAATTTTTGTGTAAGGATACATTCTTTGTAGATGTACATCGAGTGATAGCAGTCAAAATTGTTCCTAAGCTTTTTTCTTTAGCTGATTGATTGTGAAGCATTCGATACAAAATTTGGTTATGGATTGAACTAACCGGTTTGGTTAAGCAATGGGATTTTTGGTTTGATTTGGGGCTTCCTTCTACTATAGATATTGCTATTATTTTAACTATAAAATGTAGATATAGTGAGCCGAGAAAGGATGATTTCTGATTTATTTTTTTGGATTTCTTTTATTCTGTGCGCTACAAATTACAGAAATCCATGATTTTGTAAAGCAAAACAGATACTTCTTTTGTCTCCATCCACCTTTTTCACGATTTCACGAGTAAACTCATGTCTCTTAGATTAAGAGAATCTAATCTACGTTTTAACTAAGCAATCATATTTCAGTTTAAAAGGTAAAACAACTCATTGTTGGCATGTCCGTTACAAAAAAAAAATTAAAATTAAAATTAAGGTTTATCAAATAATCGTCACGTCTCTTTTTCCATCTACCTTCGAGATATTTGATAATTTATTAAAAGGAATTTGCCGATTAATGCATGATTTTGTCTACTACTTCATTCTTTTTTTTTTTTTTGATAACGGAAGACCCCTAACTGCTACCCTGGGCCCGAGAGCAGCCTTTGTATATAGATCATATAAACCCAGAAATTACTCCCTCCCCACCAGCCAGAAATCGAACACTCAATCTCAAAGTGGAGTTACCTCCTACTCCAAACTTGACCACTCCCCCACGATCTGTTGGGTTACTACTTTATTCTTATGGGATTTTATAGTTATGGTTTCAAGAAAATGTATATGTTTATCAAATTTGAAGGAAAAAAAATATGGTATTTCATATTAGAGATTATATACCTAGTTGTAACATATATATATATATATATAGAACTAGAAACATTTGGATGATATATTCCAATAAATGGGACACTTCTTGTCGGGTGAGAAAGATCTAGAATATGCTCCCATAATTAAACATTAATTATCCTTTAAAAAAACTCAGTAACACGTCACAAGGTAAGTTCGGCCGTACTAGTCCCACCGTATATATACATGCATGCGTAAGTATCGCAAGTTGATGCCTTGATTGCACGTCTACAGAACGAGGAGAAGCACAATCCACATGACATTTTCTTCTTGAATTTAATGCCATATATATATATATATGTGTATATATATATATATATGTATATAGCAGCCTCAGTTTTCAGTTTTGAAGAATCAATCAAGAATTAAGGCCAAAAAACGACAAAAGTAAAAATAAAACACAACCCATCAACGTCAACAGCCCACAGTCTTAAGGCGGTGGATTTGATCTGCATTCACTTATGTTCTGTCCTATATAAACACCTCTCCAACTCGTAGAGACCTCACTCCAAATCCTCCTCATCACAAGATTCTAAGAAATCAGGATCAATATACATATATAGAGATAAGGAGCCTAATATTAAGATGGGAATCAAGCCCAGTCGTCACTCAAACTCATCCAACGCATTTCGCAATGATCATGACCATGATCATGGGGATCAGATGGGGAAAAAGACGATGGGATGGAGCAGTTTTAGGATGCCACTTCATTATCCGAGGTACAAGAAGAGTGACTACGAGAGGATGTCCGAATGGGAATTGGATCTGATCCTTGGAGAGTACGGCTTGCAAGTAAACGGCGATGTTGAAGAGAAGAGAAAGTTCGCCACCGGAGCTTTTCTCTGGCCCCAACAGATCGATTCCTAGATCCATATATATCGCATGTTTCATGCATGTTTCTGTTTACGGTATGCAATGATCTATATATGTATCATCATTTCATATACATATATATATATATATGTACGTGTGTGTGTGTATGCATATGGTTACAAGATCGATGTATGCTAGTTCTGATTAACTTTAACCCTAATGTGAAACGAACAAAATTTCCCAGGGCGGCTTTGACCGTGGGCTATGTGGATGTTTTTTTTTCTCACATAAATTCTACGGATTAGTGGAAATGGATAATGTTTTCATAAATTTAGGGAGAGAAACAAACAATTCTAATTAAATTCTAACATGGGTAGACCATAACAAATAAAACATGAACTCTCTCTCTCTCTCTCTCTATATATATATATATATATATATGGAAAATCCCATAAAAAAAAAATACATGAATTTTATTAAATGTGCCAAAAAATATATGAATATGTAATTTGATTTTTTTTATGAAATTCATGTATTTTTTTTATTACTATATATGCAGGATGATGGGTGGGTTTGTGATACATATATTGATGGATGGATATGTCCAATTGCTTGCTCGCTCGGTAGGTTTCGAAATTTATGAAGCGTGCATTGCTATTTTCTTACACTACGTAGTACGTACTCAATCATCTTACCTCCTCCACACGGCGTTTGACTCTTCCTTGTCATGCTCCATTTTTAAAATCTCTTTCCATAAAATCTAGTGAAAATCCCTTAATGTCGCCACATATTCATATAACACGCGCATGTATGCTTACGATATAACATCTAATAAAACCAAAGTATAAACTCTAACATAAAGATAACAAATATTTTTTGTGTTGTAATATTTTATTATATCAAAATTGTCCTATAAATGATGAAGATTTGGAACCGAGGACAATAAGGCTGAAAACATAAATGCCCATTTAGGCCCAATATCTATAACGTGTGGAACTATTGTGACCCAGAACATGAGATTTCAAGAAAACCGAATACATACATACATACATACATACATACAACGAAAAACAATGGAACAAATTTAAACAAACAAAATTCGTCGCATATAATTATATATTATGGAGTGCATAATAAATGTAATTAATGATAACGTATCCTCTTTCCAAACGGTTATTTAGATGGTTTAATTTTTTTTTACATTTGATTTAATAAATAAAACCCAAATACTGATTAAATGATTAATTTAATAATCCACCGATCGTGTGGTTATACGCTTAACTTGAATGCATCAACATTCAACTCCCTTCCATGCACGTATATATCGCGCGCATAGGTAAGTGCATGAAAGAAATTGACATAACATTTTTTTGGTATATAAATTTGTTTTTTCCTTATCTAAATCAAACAAATAACTGTTACGCCTGCAAAAAAACATGCAAATACATGTAATGTAGCCGACAATATTTATTATTTTAGTTTGAGTCAGACTATTATTATTCGTTTATTGTATATGCGAGTAATTAAATATAATTACTCTAGATTAATAAACATACTTTAATTTTCCCTTTCAATTATTAAACATTGTTGTATTTTTTAAGTTTATGGAATTCAAAATTCAGATTCCACGATCAAACGCTTGCACCTAGTAAAGTGAGAAGAACATGTAATTATAGTTGAATCAATCTTAGTTAAAAAAAAAAATTGGAAGAAAAACAAAACAAACTTTACATTACAAAAAAAAAACAAAATAAACTTTCTTTTTTTTTCCGAAGGGGAAATCCAAGGAACCTTATAAACGGCGCCGTTTAAGTCAAAGTCATTTGTTAAAGACCTGGACGTTTCTCGCGAGACGAGACGAGAAGATTAATTAGTTATAAACAAATCTTAATTAATTATTCGATAAATTAAACTAATTTAATTAATTATGACGAAACTCGCGGGAAAACTTTGTATAGGACTCCCTGAGAAAGCGGACGTGGTTTCGACAGCTAAACCCAAACCCAAAAAAGAACCTGACGAAAAAGTTTCAAAATATTCCTGGAAATTCTGGTATTCTCTGCAACCGTTACAGGTAGGAAGAGGGGAAGCGAATATCCTCTGTAGAAAATTTCTGGGAAAACTTTCTAGGGCTTTGAACAGCCCAAAAGAACAGGGAAATAGATTTCTGGGTTCCTGTTTTTTTTGGGTTGCTTTCTGTCTCTTTTGCAAGTACGGTGATTTGAAGTTCGATTCATCTTTCCATCAAAAAGCAAAAAAGAAAAAAAAATCCATTCTTTCTGGTGATGCAAAGGTTTTGGGCAGATGGATTTTCCCCCATTACCCGAATCTGGTTTTGAAACTCCGGGTTTGAGATAATTTTGACGATGGTGAGATTGGAGATTGTTCACGTTTGGATTGATTCGGTTGATGTTTAGATATGGGTTCGAATGCGCGGAGGAAATTCCTCGATCCTTGAAGAACAAGAATCCCTCTTTTCAGGTTTGTTTGATTCCGCTCTTAGTTATCTTCTCTGTAATCTCATCTTTTTCCGCCCTGATATCTGTTTGTTAAAATCCATGAAGTGGGGTTTCGTCCAGATTATAGTGTTGATTGATTAGGAATCGCGAATCTGATTGAAAGTTTCGAAACTTCTCCTGCATTGTTGCATAAGATTATCTCCCCGCGTGTAATTTGATTATCTGATTCATATTTTGTATATTTTCTTGACCCAGATTCATTTTTTCAGCTGTCATAATCTTGACCCTACCAGATTCTTTTGGCTCTGAGAGATCTTGGGAATATTACTATAAATGGAGCAGTTCAGACAGATCGGGGAGGTACTAGGAAGTCTGAATTCGCTTATGGTATTACAAGACGAGATCTTGATCAACCAAAGACAGTGCTGTCTGCTGTTAGAGATCTTCAGTTACGCTTTCAACACAGTTGCAGAAGAGATCAGACAGAACCTGAAGCTGGAAGAGAATCACACCAAATGGAGAGCCCTTGAACAACCATTGAAGGAGCTCCATAGGGTTTTCAGAGAAGGAGAGTTATACGTTCGGTACTGTATGGACAGGAAAGCTTGTTGGTGGGCCAAAGTCATGAACCTTCACCAGAACAAAGACTGTGTCGAGTTACACATACACAACTTGCTCTGTTATTTCCCGGCAGTGATAGAAGCCATCGAGACATCCGGGGAGATCTCTGGTCTCGACCCTTCCGAGATGCAGAGGAGGAGAGTTGTGTTGTCGAGAAAATATGACAAAGAGTGGAATGACCCTAAGCTTTTCCAATGGAGATTCGGTAAGCAGTATCTTGTGCCGAAGGAGATTTGCAGCCGGTTTGAGCATTCGTGGAGAGAAGATCGGTGGAATCTTGTGGAGGCATTGCAAGAGAAGAGAAAGTCGGATAGTGACGATCTAAGCAGGAACGAGAAGCGTCTAGCTGATTTGCTTGTGAAGAAAATAACCGGGTTCGAGCCATTTAACGGAAAGGTCTTCCCTAGTTGGGTACTGGTTGGATCTAAGGATTACCAAGTGAGGCGGCGGTTAGGAGCGGGTGGGCAGTACAAGGAGATTCAATGGCTGGGTGATAGTTTTGCAGTGAGGCATTTTTTCGGGGATCTCGAGCCATTAAGTTTGGAAATTTCCTCTCTGTTATCCCTTTCCCACCCGAATATACTCCAGTACCTCAGCGGGTTCTACGATGAAGAGAGGAAAGAATGTTTTCTGGTTATGGAGTTAATGCACAAGGATTTGCTAAGTTACATGAAGGAACATAGCGGGCCTCGAAGGAGATATCTGTTCTCCATTCCCGTCGTGATTGATATCATGCTGCAAGTCGCTAGGGGTATGGAGTATCTCCATTCGAAAGATATCCTTCATGGTGATCTGAACCCGACTAATATTCTTTTGAGAGAGAGGAGTCACTCTGAGGGTTATTTTCATGCCAAGATTTCCGGGTTTGGTCTATCTTCCGTCAAAATGCAGTCTACTCGGTGTTCGACGAGACCAAACACACCAGATCCCGTGATTTGGTATGCACCCGAGGTTCTAACCGAACTTGAACAAGACCCTTATGGTATCCCGAGGTCAAAGTTCACGCATAAAGCTGATGTGTATAGCTTTGCGATGGTATGTTTCGAGCTCATAACGGGTAAAGTTCCATTCGAGGATGGCCACCTTCAAGGTGAGAGAATGGCGAAGAACATCCGGATGGGAGAGAGGCCTCTTTTTCCATTCCCTTCACCGAAATACCTCGTGGATCTAATCAAAAGATGTTGGAGCTCAGAACCAAGTCAGCGTCCAACGTTCTCTTCCGTCTGCCGAATCCTACGTTACATCAAGAAGTTTCTAGTCGTAAACCCGGATCATGGTCATCCACAAATGCAAAGCCCACTTGTCGATTGCTGGGACTTGGAAGTAAGATTCTTAAGGATGTTTCCGGTAGAAGGGCATGCGAATCCCGTGACCCAGATCCCGTTCCAGATCTTCGCGTACAGGGTTGCCGAGAAAGAGAAGACGTTTCCAAGTTCGAAAGAAGGCAATTCAGAAGCGAGTGAAACTTCTGAAAGCGTTTCAATGGTGGAAGATCCACCAGTGCCATTGAGAGACACAAAGTCATTGTGTTTAGATACAATATCTGAATACTCCGATACAAGATCCGTTTACTCGGAGGCTCCCGCCAAGAAGATCCCGGCCTTGAGGAAAAGCAGTGACATTGGTAAATTCAGAAGAAGCCCGAGCACAGGTCAGTTACAGACAAGAATTTCGACATGTTTAAACTTGTTTTAAGCTGGTCTGATCGATTTTGTCTGAACTCAGGAGCATCAAAGTTGAGATCCAGTGGAATTTCGCCCATAAAAGGAAGAACATCACCAAAAGCATTAACGTTGAGTCCATTCGGAAGAAGCAGCAGCTGCAGGGGAAGGAAAGATAATAGGTTGGCATTGAGCCCAATGAGCCCTTTGAGCCATGGAAGACGGAGACAACCTTATGGCCATGCTTCTGACCTCGACCTGACATAACCTTCCATTTGAAACAGAAACTTAGTCTCAGACTTCAAAAAAAAAAAAAAAAAAAGAACACAACCACAACAAAAGGAGAAGAGGGTTTTTATTTGGCGAGATCTTTGCATACACTTCTGTCTGTAAATTGTGTCTGTTTAGAAACTTTTCTTGGACTTCGGCTCTAAGTTTTGTCCATTTTGTAGGTTCTGCAAATTGCTTTTTTTTTGTTCTTTTTGGGTTGGGCTTAATCAAGAACACATTCATTATCCCTTTTTGTTTCTTGTATTATTGTTGTATGCTGTAATAATCGTTTTCGTCTAGTTTTTTTTTTTTTTTTTTTTTTAATAAAAGACACAATATGTCATATTTTTGGGTTTTGGTTTCAATTCAGTTATATTTGGTTTTTATATAAAAATCGAGTTTTTCGCCCTTTTAAAAAATCATAACTCATCAACCCAATTTATGGTAGGGCCTTAGGATTTATATTAGGGTTGACGTTATATGAGCCCACTAACGGCCCAATATATACCACTTATATCCTCGCTTTAGGTATTGGACTGAAACCCGACCCGGTTACCTAGCCCCGTCTTTCCCAAAATATCGCCTTTGATTCCACGAGATGCGAGAAAACATATTTATTTATCGTTTGTGGTTAGCCTTGTAAATATAGCCAGGGTTTAAGGGTATTTAGGTAAAATATGTAGCAACAAATTTTGCATTCCCGGACAAATGGAAGCCCATAAAAAGAGACTTTTTTTAAAAAAAAAAAAATCTCCGTATGTTCATTCCGGTGAGGTCCTCTCGTTTTGTCTCATTTTCGCTAAAACCTCTTTTGTCAATTCGAAATTCAGGTAGATCTTGTTGCTTTCAATTGTCCGAACGGAGAAGGAATATTCGCCATCCAGATTCTGCCGGTAATTTAACCTTTTCTCTGTCAAATCGATTCTGCGATTTAGGTTTTTCTTCTTCTTCTTTAACCCCTGATTGGTTGCCGAGAAAATGCAGCAAAATTCTGGAAAGTTTTTGATGAAATCAATTGTTTGGAACGTAGCTACCCAGTTGTTGTTTCCGTGAACGAAATCTTGCGTATAGTGAAACGCATTCCCATCCATGATGGGGTCAATGCTTATGAAAACGGCGGGCTCTTTATTTGATCATAATATCATATATTTATTCTTAAATGACAAAAAAAAACATTTGATCCATTTCTTTATTTGATTCCAAATTTTACGTTTGGATAAATGGCCCCCTTTTTTTATGATTCTCGATTCACCAAAAAGTTTGTAATTTATATTTTTATTATGATCCTTTGGATCTGTGTTTTTAGATTGTGGAGTGAGCTTAGAGTTTTGCTCAGAAAGAAAATCTTTTGCGAATGGAGAAGGCGAAGGCAGGTACAGAATTTTTCAAGTACTACTATTCAAGATATATATATGTATATATAATTGGTATGAGAGTTTTGCTGTTGTGTTTTTTGAAACTTTGTGTTTAATGTAATGTTTTCTGGTTATCTTGTTATAACCTGCAGGGGTAGAACATAAGGTTTCAAAGATTCTCAGGTTCATCCAGACCAAGAACGATGTCCCAACGGAAGCAAAGGAAGAGCTTCTTGGGCTCGTCGAGGATCTTCACGACCAATGGCAGTCACTCTTTTCCGTATTTGATGATCTTCAAGAGCG